CACTGTGGCTCTCTTCCCAATCACATTCCTCCCTCGTCGCCGTGCTTTGGCCAAGTTGAAACCTGCCTCATCCACAAAGATGAAAATGTGGTGTGTTTGCCTGCCTTCAATCTCCATGACTCTCTAACATAAATCCACAAGGCAACATAAGCTGTTACAGTAGTAAATTTGTAAAATTGTCTTTGTGTGCGTTTGGTTTTGTTCAAAAACAGATCTGTATTTTATTCTGATCTTACCTGGACATACTGGTTCCTGAGTTGCTCGACATGTTCAGAGTTCCTCTCAAAAGGCACAGTGTGCAACTGCATCATCACCCACGATAACCTCAGCTTACATTTCTATCCATCTATTCTCCTCCGATGCGATTGGTTCTTGCAGGTTTTTATTAATAAGATAGAAAGGCTTCGATCTACATCTACCCCGTTTCTGTATAATGTCTCATTAACATTTACCTCCTCAACTGCTTTTGACCAGTTTGCGGCTGTATGTCTTAACCAGGTGGAAGATCTTTGCAATAGCATAAAGACATCATCCTGCCCTTCAGATGGAGTCCCGACCCATTTTCTAAAAAAGATTATTAAGGTAGTCGGTCCCGACATTTTAACTATTTTTAATAGTCTCAGCTCTGGAGTGGTACCAGCTGGATACAAGCACGCTGTAGTGCAGCCAGTGCTTAAAAAACGAACCTTGATTCTTCTGTTTCCAAGCTTCCGTTTCTGTCAGAAATTTCAGAAAGGATTGTATTTGAGCAGCTACAATCCTTTCTAAATAGTCATAATATTTTTGAGAAGTTCCAGTTGGGCTTCAAAACCCACCACAGCACAGGAACTGCCCTCCTAAAAATACTTAATATTTTATTAATCACTGACTCAGGAGGCCCAGCTGTGCTCCTGCTCCTAGACTTAACTGCAGCCTTTGATCCTGTTGACCGCAGCATTCTGATCTCCCGTTTGGAGCAATGTGGTATCAAAGGTATCCGCTTGGTTTAGGTCGTACCTCTCCGAGGGGACTTTTTCCGTAAGCCTTGATGATTTTATTTCTTCCCCAGCTCCTTTTACTTGTGGTGTCCCGCAGGGTTCTGTATTAGGCCCAATTCTTTTTTCAATCTACATGTTGCCCCTAGGCCTAATCTTTAGGAAGCATAACATCTACTTTCACTCATATGCCGACGACACCCAGACTTCTCTTCGGTTTAATAGAAACACCTCCACGCCCATGGAATCAAATGTCTTGACAAAGTTAAAACCTGGATGGCCTCAGATTTTCTTACCTTCAATGAGGATAAAACTGAGGTAATTATTTTTGGACCGAGCTGTAATTTCAATGCCCCAGATTTGGACTTATGTAACCTAAAACGTGCTGTTAAAACGCATGTAAAAAACCCGGGGGTTTTCTTGGATAGCAAACTTACATTCGAGAAACAAATTAATTCCGCTGTCCAGCGGCCTTTTTTAAATTAAGGCTCCTATCCAAAGTGAGATTGATAGGTTTGTAGCTTGAACCTATTCGCTGGAACGTTGAAGACAATATAATTACACATCAAGCAAGACACGAAGTAGGCAAAGTTCTTCATGTTTCTCGTGCACGGGAGAGACCGGACAGACGCCGTTCCTTCGTTTGACCCCAGTTGCTCTCGACCGCTCCCCCGTAACACTGCTCTTTTATTGAGGCTACATGAATATGCATAGGTTCATTAACATACGACGTCTACATACACACAAAGAGTACCTTGCCTGTGTGTATGTGTGTGTACTGCTGATCAAAGGGTCCTATAACATTAAAGCACACAAGCAAACATCCTTGGTCAGGAAGAGGGTAGTCACCCCCTCACCCTAAATGGTTCACCCTAGATAACACGGTGAGGAAGTCCTTCGGTTCATCTAAACAAAAAGCACTTAGACTAGAACAGACGTAGCTACGTTAATCCTACCATAAAACAATAAAAAGGTACGACCTCTCTCGTGCTCCCAGAGTGCTCTCTAATGCACACAAAGTTTGCAGACTATCACTACACAATTGATTATACACCTCTAAGCATATATGGTTAAATATTTCTAAGCATAAATGACAATCAACAATACAAAACCTAACATTGATCTTTTTTATCTTTTAGAAACTTGAAACGAGCAATTCATGCGTTTGTTTTATCTCAGCTGGATCACTGCGGTTCACTATATGTGGGTGTCAGTCAGTCCAGCTCGGCCCGGCTCCAACTTGCTGCAGCTCGCAAGAAACACCAACATATTACTCCATGCTTGCTTCCCTTCATTGGCTTCCAGTGCGTTTTAGAATTTAATTCAAAATCTTACTTTTGACTAATAAAGTGCTAATTGGCCGGGCACCGGACTATTTGTCTGACCTATTGCAGCTGTATACGCCGTCTAGAGCCCTTCGATCAAGCGATCACCTGCTCCTCACCGTACGTAAGTCTAGGATGGGTCGTAGAGGAGATCGGGCATTTGTGGTTGTGGCACCGAAAATGTGGAACGATCTACCGCTCCACATTAGAAAGGCCCGACTGTCACTCTTTTTATTTAATTATTATTATTATTATTAATTATTATTTTATTATTATTTATCGCATCTTAAAACATATTTTTTTACTCTGGCTTTTGAAACTCCATGTTCTTTTATCCTAATTTTCTTTTAATTTTCTTACCTGTCGTTGTTTAACTGTCACTCTGTGCAGCACTTTGGTCAGCTCCCTGTTGTCATTAAACGTGCTTTATAAATAAATACATAAATGAAATCTGGACAGGTCGGCAGCCGGTGGCAGCGCTAACACGTGACAGTTCATTGGTAACTGAATCAGGTGTGAATATGGTTGCCTGTCTCTGCGTCAGCCCTCTCTGTCCGTCCACACTGAGATGGAAAACGCAGCGTTTTGAAAACGCTTTCATTTGAAGACGGTGCTTTCACGTCGCAGTGTGGACAGCGAAAACGGAGACTTTCGAAAACGATGACACGTGTTAGTCATATGATGCAGTCATGTGACCAATTAAACTACGACAGCGGAGGGCAGCAGTTGCTGTGTTCGCTCTCAGCTCTGACAGCCCGATTAAAGGTTAATATCAGTCTGTACGTGCTACAGATCAAACTCTTTGATTCTCACTCGCTTTTGCGTTTCATGTGCAGGACTGGAACGTCAGCGTTTTCAGCCGTGTGGACGCCGAGCGCTTTCAGACGAAAACACCGTTTTAAATCTATCCGGGTTAGTGTGGACGCAGCCTTTGCCTGCGCTCACACTTTGTTTCAACACGTTCACTTCAAATTATGAAGCGTGTCTTCAGTGCGAGCCGCTCGGCGAGAAACAGCCTTCATTCACTCGCACTTAGAAATCAAGCTGGAGGTGTCAGCGCCACAGCAGTGGGTGCTTTCCCACAAACGCTCTTATTGTGGAATAATTTGGTGATAATAATCTGATGATTTTCCTTATTTGCTCATTTTAGGTTTTATTAAATAAAAAGTTTTTAGCATCTGAGGCGTTTTGCATCCGAGCGGCTTCGTCCATCTGCAGGTCACCAGCTTATCCAGCCTCCAACATGATCCCGTGAACGGAGGCAGCATCAGTTTAGTGCTGCTGACTGCAAACAGATGTTGTGACAGGGCATCTGATTAAAGATGTTAAGACAAATCCCCCCCACACACACACACATGCATCTTTGAGAAGATACTCACTCTGCAGCTGAAACGGCTCTTTAAAGACGCCAGGAAGTGAAGACTGACACAAAATGGCCTCTTCTCTCTTCACGAGATCACAAAATCAAGCTGCTCCTCACACAGAGAGCAGAATCGTGTGTGTGTGTCATGCAAGGAGATATGAACACATAAACTACCCGTGATTAAAAAGGCCGGCGTGTGCGTGTTTTAATCCGTCCGCTGAGGGAGGTTGGCAGCGGCGTCACAGCGCACAGCAGCTGATTGGTCGGCTGCAGTGGGACATTTACGCCTCAGATCACATCTCCTGAAATCCTCACTGAACACAGGCGCAGCAGTTTAACGCAGCACTCACTGGTTTGACTCTAAATGAGCAAAATCCTCACACGTTCCCGGCTGGTTGGAAACAGGGTGCACGGTGAAATCTGGCCTTTTTAAATTAATTATTTGAGCTTCATTAGTACGACAGATCTCCAATGAAACTTGAAGGGCATAGATCAAGGTCTTAATTCTGGGCCCATCTTCACGTACTTCTACAGTCATAGTTTGAAGGTTACTGAGAGGCCTGCCGGGGAACTTCTGTGCAGTTTGACGGTCGATGGATCGATCCTGCAGACGCACAAACGGTTTTACTTTGTGAACAAACACCTCGCTGCTGCGCTGCATCCTGTTTACTATAACAGCTGCTGTGCCACCCCTGTGATGTTTGTACTGATACTCAGCGCAGCTGAAGCTGTGTGAATGAAACTCGACACCCACAGCATCTGCTGCTGGTACTACTGCTGACTCTGTGAGTCAGCTTCATCACAAAGCACACGTTTCTGAGCGCAGAGAGGCTGAGATTTCACACACAGGCTCAGAGAGGACGCATTTATATCGCTCGGAGGATTCAGAGCAAACACTGCAGATGACCTGAGAGGGCGAAGTGAGCACATTACCTTGTAGGCCATGGCTCGTCTTAGTGCGTTGATCGTATTGATGGTTTGAAACAGGATGCTGCTTTCAGCGCTCACCTCATTGCCTCTGTGGAAAGGAATATATCCAGTAAACACAGGGTTCATACACATCCAGTCCACTCTTTCTTTCACAGTTTATCTAAAATAAACTCTTAATGAAGGAAACTGGAGCAAACGTGTTAGAACAAAAAATAAAATGTTAAGCTGCAGTCTAGTTTAGTAAAGACTCATAATAAACGTGTCAGCCTGTGTTTTTATGACAGCTTCCTGATAAATGTGCAGCACGTTGCTTTGTTCTGTTATCACTGCTGCATTAATGCACTGTGGACTAAAAGGCCTCAGGAGCACTTTTACTGTCTGCTTCACTCACGGTGGCACCAGGACAGACACATGATGCTGCTGTTGGACAGCAAGATCAGAGTAATGGAAGAAAGGAGGACATTTAAAAACGGGTGAAAAATAACAGGTTCAATGATGATGCTGCACAGTAGATACAGAGCACAAGATTATTAATGACTGACACGAATAAAGTAAATACAGTAGCACATGCCGGGCATTGGCTCGGCACAGACACATCAACAGAGAGAGATGTCTGAGGTGACCTGCATAGGTGATGCTCCTCCGCTCGCCTCCTGCCTCTGATTTGTGGACGCTAAGGCTCCGAGCAGCTTGTTGTTCCCGCCGCCATGTTTCCGGTGATTCGCGGTCCTGCTGTCCGTCCGTCCGGTCCGAGGCCGGTGTCCGCATGCATGAGCGGAGGCCGGGAGCGGTGAGTCCTCCTCTCTCGTTTTAGCCCCTCTCTTTTCTACTGTCTTTCTCTGTGACGGTCACCATGCAGGCTGCTCCTGCTGCTGCATCGAGCAACAAGCTAGCACTGACACGACCGGCGCATTTCCGGTGAGATTTTCAAACATAAATAATACATTTAAGTAAATTAGTATGGAAGTTATAGAGCACCTTTTTAGATTTTCACAGAAATAATTTAGAAATAAATAAATAAAAGAATATTGCACGTTTAGTAGAACATACATAAAATTGCGGAAAGAAACATAATCTTAAAATTAACTGTGAGACAGTTTGAAGAAGAGATTTACCAGTTTAACAGATTTAGAGAAGTGAGAGAAGATGTACATGACAATACCTTGCTTTTCTTTTTGTCACACTTTTTAAGATCATTACATACATTTTAATATATTTAACACAAAGCTAATCCAAGTAAAAACAAATTCGATTTATGTTTTTCTTTATTAAGAGGAAAAATCCAGCCAAGCTTTGTTAAAAGTAATTTTATTGCATTTTTTTGATGATCTGAAACATGTAAGTGAGAGAGATATGTCAAACACTAAGAAATCAATGAGACGTTAATATATTTTCACTTTGTCCCCCTTCAGCATGATGAATGACAATATCTGAAGCTGGTTCTGCAGTTATGGCAGTTATGGCACAGGGAAGCTCTTCTTCCCCGTGCTTGCCAAGTGCTGCTTTAAGGGATCATCTGATCATTGTGGTTTTCTCTGTCTGGTGCTGTGGGGTCTTTACTTTAACTGTACTTTGATCTTGCCTTGGGATGGCTGCTGTATAAATGAAACATCTTCTTCAGTCACTGGTGTCACATGCATACCTAAACATTAGTATTGTAGGTCATAACGTTCCTCTCCCACAGTGCTGGGATTATAGCTGGACCTCAAGGGTCCAGGCTCCCCAATAAATCACTGTCCCCCTTTAAGCTGAATTCTGCTGATATACAACTGATAACAAAAATATCACCAATAATCACTGAGGAGGACACTGATGAGCCCGGGTGACCATATTTTGATTTCCATAAAGGACACTTGGACCGGTTGTTAAGAACTTTAAAAATACTGTTTGCTTCAAGAAAACGTTAACATATTTAGACGATGCCTTCTCTGTGTGGTTAATGAATTATGAAATAAAAAATGTCTTTATATGCTTTTACAAGTCAACAAGTGCAAAAGAAGAGGACGGTTGGTCACCCTAGCCTGTGCAGACAATTTGCTTCTGCAATCTAAGATAGATATTTTTACACTTTTATTGCTGCTGTTATACAATTTTAGTTATTGATTCGTTGATTTTTGTGAATACCAGAGTGACATAATTGGTTACCCATCCAATGCATATGGTGTCCTGCTGACCCTGCTCCTCTGACAGGTGAGAGACGTTTCTAATGTGAAACTGCGTTTTTATTTTGAAGGGAAGTTTTAATCACCTGACTTCCTCTTCTCGCTTTATTAATTCTGAATGACTTGTCGTGCCCTTATGCAGCAAGCCAGAACACGCAATCTCTCTGCAGGGAACATTAAGATGCACCAAAGATACAACAGCCTGAGAGTATCTTTGCTTTAGTGAATCTTGTGCTGTGCATACTGACATAAATAACTAAAGAATCACTTTTCATTTAAAAAAAGTTTGTAAATTCATGTAATTAAAGCAATATTATAAAACAGATGTTCCCTGACCGGGAATCGAACCCGGGCCGCGGCGGTGAGAGCGCCGAATCCTAACCACTAGACCACCAGGGACAGATATCAGGCAAGTGTCACCAGGTCGATTCATAGTACAGTACATATACGTTATATGAGATGGTTATGTGCAGTAGCTAATATTAATCAACGAGCAGAAGAACTGTTCATTGTCTGTTATATCGGTACAGTGACGGCGACACAAAGCTAACCAACCCCCTTCACTTTTAACTACTTTAGAGCCCTGCTTTTTAAGCGTCGCTTAGCCGTTAGCCCTTGGCTAGCGGCTTTCGCGAGCTTTACCTTGCAGAACGACAGCGACGCGACATATGTCGCTTTTGTTCCGTGATGCTACAAATGACGGTAGCACATGTCTTTTACTGTGATATAAATTCTTAAAAAAGACTTTAGCATGAATGGTGCTTATTCATATGACCATATACCCACTGCTTGCACACAAGACCTCGTGGCGCAACGGTAGCGCGTCTGACTCCAGATCAGAAGGTTGCGTGTTCAAATCACGTCGGGGTCATCCTGTTTTTTTAAATTTCTTTTCCATCAAAATTGTTAATTATTTTGGTTTTATCGAACAAACTCAAAGTGAAACAGTCACTAATTATGCGAATACGTAATGATGGCAGTATGTGTGGTGGACTTGTGTGACATGTATATAGTTATACCTATATAACTATATACACTATATATAGATAGAATTGTTGAATTGTTTTGAATTTGCATTGTTTATATTGTCTACTTTATTACTTAATGTTTTCTTTATTTTAACCTTTGTGTACAGCACTTTGTGACTGCCTGTCTACGAAAAGCACTTGATAAATAAACCTTACCTTACCTTATCTGCACTGAACATATATTTTAACTTCCACGTAGAGTCTTAAGGACATGGTTTATTAAGGTGGTACAGTAACAGGGCAGTTAATGTAAGGAGAGAATTTCTCCTGAATAACTCACTCTCCAGATCCGGTAACTAACCTCTCTCAATACACACTCAATGTCTTTCATGCAACACATCCAAAACAGTAACATTGTAACAGAGATCCTGAGCACATCACAATAAGATATCATACAATATAATTACTCTCACACACACACACACTTTAATGTATGTAACCCATGTAGTTATAAGATTGTATATTATAAGATTATGCCACTTTCTGTGTAAGATTTAATAATTAGGATTTATGTGCGATATTTTACCGTGTCATGACCTATTGTGAAAAGCCAAAGCCAAAAGCGTAGCCAGTCCTGACTGGCCTCTGGCCAGGACCTTGGCTGCTACCTGAGCCTGCAGCTGTGTTTGGCTGGAGGACGGGTGGGAAAGTTACGCTGCAGCAGGGGGCGGGGATACCGGTCCCCATATATTAGAGGACCAGAGGCGTCCGTCTCTGTGTTGCTCTGCTGTCTGTGCTTAAGGCTGTACACCTCGGGGGTTTGCTTTGCTTGCTTTCTGCTATGTTATCTTGCTATACCTTGTATGTATTTTCTTGCTGTTCATATGATTCGGTGTATTAAACTCTGTTCCAAGAATTCTGGAATTTTTCCAGAGCATCTGTTTGAGTACCTTGATTTTAACTGGATCTAAAAAAGTTGGATCTCCACATCGTTGGTGGGAGAAGGTATCAGGATGGCTTTAAAATTTGCAACCACAGATGACTGAATCACCAAAACTTACATAAAGTGTTTCATGTACATAAAACACATGTGCTGTGCAATGGCCTTTATTTTCTAATAAAAGTAAATTACCCAGTGAACACCTCGAACTGTTTTTTATAGTTAATAAAGCAATTTACAAAAAAATAGAGGTATGACAGTCAGAGTTGCGTAACATGTACACTTTAAATAGGACAACAAGCAAATAAAAAGGTGAGGTGATGCTCCACAAATGCAGGTATTTACTTATTCCGAAACCATTTTTTTGTGCTGATATTTGGCATAAATTAAAAATAAGCTTACAAATTACAACAAAACAAAGCATTTTTACCCCCAGATAACTAATAAAAATGTGCCAAAGACACGGTTATTCTTTTATCACCAAAGTTCCAAATTTACATGTTAATGGTGCAGGTGGGTCAGAGTTTCAATACTGCTTATAATCATAATAAAATTTAATGGCGTTATCTTTGAGATTAACATCTACAGCAGACAACCTGCTATTCAGACCTGTTTGTGAGGGGCAGCCAATCAGAAGAAAGCTGGCTTAAAAGAGGAGGAGCTAAAACAGCTTATGTTAGACAGAGGAGTAACTTAGGAGCTGCGCTCAAGCCCAGTGTAAGACAAACAGGCATTATTTTGGACTCGAATCATACAAAGCTGCTCTGGTAGTCCAAAGATATAAAACATGGAGTCTTTAAAAGAGAAAGCTCTGAAACAAAATGTACTGCTGCCTAAAGTCAAACCACGTAACTTTACACTTGTCATTTACTCTGACCGTCCATCTGCTAGAAAATATGGATTATTACGCCACTGAAAACAATTCCAGAAAAACACGTTTCGTCCTAAGAAGTGAGGAAATGTTTGAAAGGCTGAATTAAAGACGTGTTCACAAACCAATGAATAACTTACTGACACGTGGCTGCTTTTTGGTCTTTCCATGCGTTTGATGGCAGTTAGAAAATTATAGTACATTTCCAGCCCTTTTATCCACACCTTGTAATATATCTAAAAACTCAAAACATGAAGGTCTTCTAAAACTAGGACTCTTGTTAACAAAACGGCTCTGTAAGGATTGCTCCGTCAAATCTTTTTTGTGCTAGCTTGAGGAGCTGGACGGTGACTTGTGGATGCTGACTTTCTTGCAGGTGTTGTCGGTGCAGCGCTCCAAGATGAGCTCTGGGCTGGGTCGGGGAGGGATGACCGGCGCCTCCTTCTTTAGCTCGCTCTCCGAGCTCGTGCCGGACATCTCGGGAATGTTATCTGTGAGTCAGAAACAGCAACACGAGCAGGTCAGCCCGGGGTTCGAGGAATAACATTAAAGACCAAGTTCACACTAACTGAAACAGAAGTGTCACCAGTTGTTTGGTTTTAATGGTCTGGTTGAGACTCCTGTCCAGAGGTGGCACAACTTTATCAGAGACATTCTGTAGTTAAGTAGAAGTACAGATACTAGTGTTAAAAAATACTCCAGTAACAGCTGAAGGACGTCACTTTGTTTCGCAGCATGTTTCATAATATAACTCGTCTCAAATGTGTTAAAGCAAACAAGCCTGTTTCAAAAATGTAGGGAAGAAAAGTAAGAAATAGTCGGAAGACAAACTACTCAAGTAAAGTGCAGATACCTGAAAATTCTACTTAAGTACAGTAACATATGTATTTGTACTTCATTACTTTCCACCTCTGCTCCTGTCAAATATCGTCCTAATTCCGAATTTGTATCACAAGAACTGTTCATTAATG